CAAAGTTGCAAACTTTGTGGGACGAATTGAACAACTATAAGCCTTTGATTCGGTGTAAATGCAACGGGTGCACTTGTGATGTGCTCGGACAGCATGAAAAAAGGAGGGAATCCGAGCGTCCTCATCAATTTTTGATGGGAATTTACACAGATTTTTTTGGAGGCGTCCGATACCAATTGTTGACGCAAACTGAGCTACCAACTCTCAATCGTGCTTACCAGCAGATGACATAAGAAGAACGTGTAAGGGGAATTGCTCAGGCGCAGGAGGAACAACTAGAAGTTCTGGGATTCGTGGTTCGTGGAAAGGGTGCGGGCCGAGGGATCAAGACGGATAAAACCGGATTTACTTGCACATATTATAAGAATTCAGGACATGAAATAACAACTTGTTTTGAGCTTAATGGCTATATATCCGGATTGGTGGGGTGATAGACCACGACCAGGAATTAAAAATGGGGGGCGTGGTCGCTCTAATCCTACTGGAACTGCTGGAGTAGGACGAGGGAGGCCAACTGCAAAAGCACACACCGCCGTTGCTGAAACGGCGACTAAGCCGAGCCCAAACATGTTTTGGTCTATATTGTTCAACGAAAAGAGCATTTTTTTATAACTCTCAATTGCGTGCAAATGAAATTAATCTTTTCAATATAATTACCTTTACTTAAACGAAAAAGAAAAAAGAGGTTTTTGGCATCATTTTTGAAGATGTTAAAAAACTAGAAGCAGAAGTCCTGCAGGCTGAAATGAAGTTCAAAAATAATCCCTCATTGGATAATAGAGAAGAATGGTCTTTCAAGCAAGCTTTGCTTCTTTCTAAGCATAAGCAGGAGAAAATTTTCTGGAAACAAAAAGCACATATCAAATGGTTGAAAGAAGGGGATTCTAATACCCAATTCTTTCACTCATTTGTTAATATGAGAAGGAAAATGCAGAGTATCAGTACCATTAAAGATTCTGAAGGTCAATCTTGCTCTGACCTTGAATTCATTGGGAAGGCGGTTGAGGATTACTTCTCAAAGGTGTTTGCTCATGAACCTGTTAGTGATGTTGATGACCTCCTGCAATACATTCCCTCTTTAGTCAGCAGTGAAGAAAACCAAATGCTAATGAAGATGCCATATGCAGATGAGATTAAGAAGGCAGTTTGGGAGCTGAATAAGCATGGGGCTGCTGGGCCAGATGATTTTAATGGGGCTTTCTATAGATCTTGCTGGGACATTGTGGGTCCTGATGTGGTGAGGGTAGTTCAAGACTTTTTCATTGGGAATCACATTCCTAAAGCTTTTGCTAGTTCTCTTATTATTCTTATTCCCAAGAAGGACAGACCATCATCCTTTGCTGACTTTAGACCTATTAGTTTGTCCAATTTCATCAGTAAAGTCTGCACAAAAATTTTCGCTACCAGATTAACTCTTATTCTTCCTAAGCTTATATCCTCTGAACAGGCTGGGTTTATGCATGGAAGGGATATTAATGACCATATTCTGGTAGCCCAGGAGATGGTCAACTCTATTGATAAAAAGATTAGAGGCTCCAATCTTGTGGTGAAACAGGATATGGCTAAGGCATTTGATCGGCTGTCTTGGACCTTTCTGGAGGGTGTGCTTCATAAGTTTGGGTTCTCTTCCCAGTTTACTACTTTGGTATTAAATCACCTTAAGGCATCTCACTTTTCTGTGCTCATTAATCGTGTTCCTAGGGGTTTCTTCCGGCCCATGAAGTGGGTTAAACAAGGGGACCCACTCTCCCCTTTTTTATTTATCCTAGCCTAGCCACTGAAGCTCTATCCAGGGGGCTTAAATCTCTTATTTCTGGATCTCAAATTAAGCCTTACTGGATTGGACAAATTGGCTACCCTGTATCCCACCTATGTTTTGCTGATGATATTCTGATTTTTATTAATGGGGAGGCCAGATCTCTTATGAATTTCAAAAAATTTATTGGGCTTTATCAGAGAGCATCAGGACAAGCTATTAATTTTGATAAAATTAATTTTATTTGTGGAAGAACTTCCCTGTGCAACATCATAAAAATGGAGAAACTTCTGCAAATGACCAAGGTGAATCTTCCGATGAAATATCTGGGCTCCTTCCTGCATAAAGGTATTAATAGGGTTAATTTTTGTAAAGATCTTATTAAGGCCTTTGATAAGAAACTCACTGCTTGGAATCAAAGGAACTTAAGTCAGAGGGGTAAACTTATCTTGATTAAACATGTCCTGAACACAATCCCTCAACATGTTCTTGTGTTGACAAACTGCCCAAGACTATCATTATGATTTTAGAGAGGAAAATGACACACTTTTTCTGGGGGCAGTCTAACCTTAATAACAAATATCATTGGATTCGGTGGAAGGATATTTGTCTACCTACTTCTGAGGGTGGTTTGGGACTAAGGTCCTTAATTGATATGGAAAAAGCATACTCTATTAAATTATGGTGGAATTGGAAATGCAACTCTTCTTTATGGGCTTCTTTTTGTCATCAAAGATACTCTAGGGGGTAAGACATGGTTCCTAGGAGTATGGATTCAAATATATTGAAAAGAATATGGTCTGTCCATGATACTGGTATGTCCTTAATAGCTACTCAACACAATGGAGAATGTATTTGGGTACCTGAGGCCAATGGCTGCTTCTCTATTTCCTCAACCTTTCAGTCAGTTAGGTGGTTTAAATCTTCAACTTTCTCCTTCAAACATGCCTGGCATAAAAAACAATCAGTCCAAATTCAGATTTTTCAATGGAAGGTTCTTCACAGGTTTCTACCTTTCTCAGATAATAGAGCTCAGTTTATAATCTATTTTAAGTGCGAGAAAACTCACGTCACAATATGAACTACATAACTAATTTAAGTCGTGGTAACACGTACACAAACTCCTTTTGTCCCAAAAAAGGTTTTCCAAATTGACTTCTGGTTTCAATGATAATCAACTTTGATTAATGATATATTTTTGTAGAAAATTATTTTGAATATGAAAAATATATTAAAATGTTTCATGTTAAACAAATATTTATTACATTAAAATATTTATAAATTTGAACCCTCCGTATTTTAAAGTTTGTTTCATTTTCCTTTTTAGATGTATTTAAAAAAATTCTACACTTTCCTTTTTTGGTAAGTTTTTGTTTTAAAAATACTCAATTACCCCTATTTTTTTACTTTTTATCTTCTCTTTCATATTTTGTCTCAATCGTTCCTATCTTTTACACTATCCATTTGTCTGAGGAAATTACCAAAATACGGGAGTTTTGTGTCTGACAAGCCAAAACACGGAAATCCGATTAGGTTACCAAAATACGGGAGTTGGAATTCACAATTCCGACTAGGGGTTGAAGTTAGATTAACCAATTTTCGAACACTACTGTCGGATTAGCCAATTCCGACAACGTTGGGTCAATTTTTTTTAAATTCCAAGTATTAAAAAATGGCAATTTTGAGCAATTATTTAAAAATCTAAAATAAATACTTATGTTTTGGAAATTATATTCGGATAGGTTCTACATCACCCGCTTAATTTGAAAAAATTTACTTCATATTGGAGACTAGTTTTCAAGCCCGTGCGATGCACAAACAATACACAATTTAGCTAATTACTGTAATTTTGATATTTTCGGAATCATATATAATTTAATGTGATGCAAAAGGAAAATAAACTCGGTCTAATATAAAGCCGTTTCGTAATACTAAAATTGGCCGAATTGTGTGACTCTACTCTAATGAATTAAATTGATGGAATCTCCCAATTTATGAAAAAGTAAAATAAAATACACTATGTATTACGTATACGTAGTATACGTAAAGGTATTCATATGTATGATATGAATTTCCATTTCCATCCTCATAAGGGTAATATACTTGATCATAAGTTTTAAATGTTTTCATATATGAACGTCTAATAGTATATATCAATTTCATTTTTAAGTTAAAAAATCTTATGGTTATAATTTTCCATCATTATGTCAACAACTAAGAAAGAATGGTATGAAGATGCTGAAAAATACGAAGTATTAACACAATTGCAAATCTAAGGCTTATAGTTTTAGTCATATATTACTGCATTGAGTTTAGAATACATTAAAAAATTGTGTTTAGAAAAAAAAAGATATTACCTCTATCCTACAGTATTTTGTTTCCATATCAATATGCAATAAAAAATAGAATATAATAGAAAAAATAAAAGGTATAAAAGGTAATTAAATAATTGTTATATATGATGACGTGACAGGATTATGTGGCACGCCGTATGCTCTTAAAAAGTTCCTCTTATATATATTGATTATTTAAAATCATTATTTATTGGTAATATAAAAAATGAGCCATTATTAAAAAAGAAACACTCTAGTGTGATTTGGGATTTGCAACAAGAGTATCATCCGATTTTTTTATTGTTTTCTCTCTTGTCGGATTACCCAGTTCCAACTGGAGGTTTTTTACAAAATAAATCAAATCTTAGCTCCAGTCGGATTTCCCACTTCCATGTAACGTTTTCCCGTATTTTGGGAAATCACCCCGCCGGTCTACTATATCATCCTTATATAGTGTGTCCAAACCAATTGTAGTAACTTTAAAATCAAGGAGGAGTATATAGATATAAATCGTATAATACTATCCTCGTTCCAAATTGTTTTGGAAGATCAATATTTTTTTGTCAACCAATGTTAAAGTCAAATATTTGCTATTAATAATTAATTCAATTTTATTAATTAAAATTTTCATATTCATAAACTACATTAAAATCTCTACAAACTTGCACAATCCAAATTAAAATTGAACTAAGAATTGTTCCTAATTAAGTGTATAAAATGACTTTGTTTGATCTACAAAAGACAATTTTGCAACTCAAATAGAGACAAAGGGGCTACTCCTTAGTTATAATCATTATAAAAAATTTATTATCATTGTGAAATAAAAATAAATATAGCACTCTAAAAAAAGTGAATATTGCAAATATTTTGGAAGGAGGTATCATCATGTGTATAAAAGTCTAGATACATGTCGACTCTTAGCCATTATAACAACGCACAGATAGAATCCTCTAATATCGGTGAGTGCTTGGAACGAAACTGCCCCAGCCCCTTTGCAAGCTGCTGATCGAGAAACTTTTGCAGTTTTTAATTCCTTGTTGTCGCCACCTTCTCTTCTTAATTCAATCAGGTGTGTTGAAATATATACTATCTATGTACATATTCCTTATTAGTAGTTTTCGGTACTCAGGTACTGATGAGTACCCGAACGACTGGTTCTTAGTTCGTACTACTCACCCGTACACCTACACATCCTCGTCATAGCTAGGGTTCCGTCATCGCGGAACCCCGGTGAATACCGGCCCGACCTCGGGGCTTGGTCAATCTCTGTGAAACAGGCCGCGCGCCCCAAATCGAGCGAACATTTGACCTGGACCCGGCCGTCGTTGTCGGGTCCCTGTGCATTCGCCGCCAAAGCTGGGCTAGCTTGTTCAGCCAGCTCATCTTGGTCACCCCAAAAGGGTAAGGTCAAGATCAGGAATAGGGGGACGGTTTAGAGCGATCGAGATCAGAAGAGTGTTGGCAAATTAGCTATGGTGAAAAATAGCTGTGGTTGATTTCAGCATGTTAGTGAGCTTAGGTATGACATGCATTAAAATCCATTTCGTAGCAAATTAATACTACGTGTGAGAAACTTGGCAAATCCATTGGGTATGACAATAAAATCCATGTCGTAGCTGAGAAACTTGTCGTCATTTTACGAATGGTTTTGAATTTATTCTGTCTCTGCATCATTTTTAAAGGAAGAAGAAGTACAATAAGAATTTTCTGCTCCGTACGTGAAAAGAAGATTACATCTTAAGTTTTTTTCCTATTGATTATCCTATATAGAATAAGAGACCTGTTTGGAGTATATGGATATATTGCTATTGGAAGTTACTTTTGTGAATAAAAAAAAAGTTACTTTAGTGTAAGTTATCCATAAACATGAACTATTGATTATGTGTGATGTAAAAGGGAATGAAATTCCAAATTTTGTAAAAACATACGTAGTATTATTGAAATTGTGCAGAAATAATAACTAATTATTTTTTATTACATTCACATATAGGCTTTTATATAACCAAAATATTTGACCAAAAAAATATCTAAGGTAAATATACCGCATCATGCTAATCCCTTTGAGAAAAATAAATGCTTATGAAAACTCTATATCACATTCATATTCATATTTTATTAAAATGAGTAGTCATGTTCCTGTTATTCATATTTGTATTCATATTCATAATTTAATCCCATTCAATGGTAAAAAAATAATAGAAATGCATGTATTGTTAGCGGTCATGGTTGAAAGTATACTAAAAATTGGTCTAGTAACTATTTTATGTTTATATTCATTTATATTTTTATTTTTATTTATATTTGTATTTATATTTATATTGATATTATATGTATGTTTCATACATGTCACATTGATATTTAACCTTTCAAAACAGAATCAGTTTTTCAGAAGAAATTGTTTCGAGAGACTAATTAATTAAAATCAATTAAAAGTGTTTCTATATTTAATCCAAACACTTTAGTATCTATTTCTCCCTTTAATATCTACTTCTGCCTTTTAAGGTGCACAAACAATCTCACCTTTTAATATATGTGAGCTACTGAGCTTAGGTGAAACATAAACTGAAAAAAACTGTTTTTACTTATAAATTAAATGTGTTAATTATTATTATAGAGCAGCTAGTAATTATATACCGAAGTACATGTGTTTTTTAGAAAGTATCATGCAAAAGCATTTTACGCTACATTTTCCTAGCGAAATAAACTCTTGGAGATGTAATAACGACACCTACTATATGCAACTACAATATAAGAAGTACGAAGTAAGAAATTATAATATATTAATATTTATAATAACTATAATAAGTATGCTACAATTATTCTAGGGACCACTTGACCAACAAATAATCTCTACTACTACCATTATTTTTCCGTCATCAATAGTGCTTCCTTAGCATGTTTTTACTTGGACTGTAATTTGTCCCAGATCAGACCAGACCAGACTTGGGTAGTTATAAAAATACAAAGAAATCATACCAGACCAGTTCAGACTAGACCAGACCAGCAAATTACAGTCCAAGTAAAAACATCCTAGCTGAAAGTGGTTTATTTACATAGAGAGTGATGCTCTTTAGGCTATGTTTGTGTTTGCTTATACTTATCATTAAAAGTGGTTTATTTAAGAGATTAATGAAAACGTGATATATAATAAAAGTAGACAGTATTTGTAAATAGAAGAGATTTTAACTACAAAGTAAAAGTTGAAGTGTTTAATAGAAAAGTGGGTTTTGATGAAATAATGTGTTGAAGTATAAATATACCCTTCTATAAAGTGCATAAGAATACTCTGTAAGAAATTACATATCGATCTTCTTCCAAATTGGAGTTCAATCCATCAATTTTCTGAAGAAACTTTGTCTCTGTGTAAACCAATTTTATATGTTTCAAACTATTGTGGATGTATTGGCAGACCAGCAGACTAGCAGCAGGTACCACTGGACTAGCACTTTGAATGTTGTTATTTTTTTATTGCCGTATACTTGCTTTTACTTCAAATTAAAAACTGGCCATGGAAGCTGCTGATAAAGGGAGAAATATCCAGCGACATCGCCGATTTGCTGCCAATCTCCTCTGCAATTGTCGACCATCTCATTATACACACGCCGTACACACCCACACACACAATTACAAGACAATCTTCATCGTTTTCATTTTTCTGTTTTTTATCATGATTATATGGAAGATGAGAGTCATGTGTGTGTTTATATATGCATACTCAATGAACATTGAAATGGCGGAAGGGGAAACGACAGAACGGAAGGGATAGTAGATTAGTAGACTACGAGAGGAGGGACGTGAAAGGGGTACTTTGGGTTGAATTGGATAAGGTATTCATTATAACCAATCTAGGTTATAATTTGGGATTTGTAACAAAATGAAGAAGCTAATAAAAGATACTTCCAATATGATTTTGGCTTTAGGCTTTAATTAATCTTCTTAACTTTAATCCAACAGCTTTTATTGAAGCATGAAGCTAAAAATGTTTTTTTAATCCAAACACCCCCCTAAATGTTTTTCATTTTTTACTACACTCTAAAGCATTTATTTATCAAACACTTCAATCCTAAAAAACTAAATTGGAACAGACCGGGTGGTCGGACTTGGAACCTGGTCAACCAGTCCTAGAAACTAGAACTATCGGTGGCCCATCCGAACCTATAAACCTTGAAACCCGGAAATTTAACTAAAACTAGAAACAAATTAAACTAATCATTATTTTCCCAAAAATTCGGCAGGCAAGGGGATGCAAACACCGGTCATCTATCTGCAAACTAAAACAAAAACCAACTGTGCTATTCCGTGAATAAGTTAACAATGCTCTTTAATAAAATACATTACTTCTGTATCATTTTTATACATAACTCCTGTATCATTTTTAGAGTACAATGCTATTATTAATTCCTCCGTATTTACTGGTAATCATCATAATTACTATTTTTATGGGTGTATTATAGTATACTAAAAATTAGAAAAGATTCATAACATATATATAGGAATCCTATTTATAATTATTTATATAAATATTATGTTCATATATTGCCCAACTGATTCTAATTACATTTTAAACTTTGTAAAAAAGCTTTTGGCACATTATTTTTTTATTTATTCTTATAAAAATTATTAAATTTTGAATAAATTAAAGTAAAAGTATTTTTTACTTTTCACTTTTATATAAAGGCAAATTAAATATATTTAATGTTTTACTTTTCACTTAAAATTGATCGGTTTTTCTGCGTTGATCGGGTTGACCCGTGTGGGTTCGGGTTAACCTCATGACCCAGTCAATTGAATGGGTGCCTTCCCTCTTCGGTTGTTTCAACATTGTGACAAGCAGGCTAATTAAGTTGCAAATGGGTCACACTTCACAAATAGGGTGGGACTGTAAACAAGGAATTGGTAAACTGCATTATTATGATTCCATTTGATTCCAACATATAGTAATTTATTAATAGTTTGATTCCTATTTTTATTAATGGTTCAATTCTCGATTCTTAAACAATATGTATGAGGAACTATTAAAAAAACTTTATAGAATAATAAAATTTTAACCTATTACTTACTTGTATATATTTAATTATTTATTTACTTATTTATTTTTATGTTAAACTCCTTAATTCTCTAGGTAATTGAATTGATAAGTATTTACTCCATTATCCCTCTTGTTAGATGTTATCAGATAAATAAAACCGAACACATCTCAACCCTACTTATTTTTCGTAAGATGATAAATAAAACACTTTTTTAATTTTAATTTAAGTATAGTGAAGAATCTCCTTATTCAGGTTTTATTTATCAAAAAATGATCAAATGAATTCGATTTTATGTTGCAAACCTTTACGTATCCTGACCGTCCATATACTCACTTCTTGAATCGATACCAGTCCAGCATCAATTGGCTGATTTGTGATCTCAGGTGTGGTGTGGAGAACATTTAGTTATATGCGTGTTAATAGTTTTGTGATGGTTTTGGTTCTGAATTCGATGACCGATTGGTAGAGTTCAGTCCATCGTGAATTGGGTTTGCATGGTAAGCTTGGTCCGAAAGGGAACTTTGGTTCTCATCTATTACTTGTATGATCGCAATGATGTACTTGTAATGGTTCAGCGATGATGAGTCTCCTCACAACCGTGTATTTGTTACTCTACACCACCTAGGACCAATAAGGTGGAGAATGTTGGAGGTATTGGTCCTCCCAAAGCCTCCCTTCCACTTATTATGTTAAGGCTTGCACCCTATGTTTACTCCTACTTCCTACACTCTTACTGATCTAGCTAGCCTGGCATTTCCCACCCGCTGCCAACTCTTACTGACTTGGTATTATTTGTCTCTTGGCCTCCTGACTTTTGCTAGCCTGTCTCGAGCCCCACCTTTGTTTGTCTTTGTGTGTAGTTAGAGTGTGAGGGAGTGGTAAACAAGGTGAGTGGAGTGGCAAAACAATCCTGGGGTGGTGTGTGTGAGTTGTTTTGGTTGGAGACCTGAGCTGAAATACACACCTAACAATGCGCCTCTGCAGTAGGCGATTAATGATGCATTATGGAACAACGATTAAGTGTCTAAAATGAATTAATTTTTTTCTTATAGATGCCAATTATCTTTGTTTAAAAGCATACCTTTGAATAATTTTAGAATTGATAGTTTAAGTTATGAAATTAGTCTAATTTGGATACTTTTAATTGAATGAAACAACTCCTAATATTTGAACCAAAATAAAGATAAATTTGAGTGACTACACAAAATTGTAACATAGTAAATTTGAGTGACTACATCTGCTTTCAAATCCCATATAATAGTAGTGACAATAAAAGCATGATTAACCTTGGTCACATTTTTTCGTAAATTTTATATTAATAATATTTAATATAAAACTTATTTTAAACTTCAAAAATTACTTTAGTCAGAGAGAAAACTCTAAAGGTTAGTGCTCAGCTCGAAACATAGTACAAGTTAAATAAGGATTCGAACAAGGCGAAGATAGAATTTTGAATGTCGCATAAAGCATAGAAGCCAAATTCGTTAAGTTCTAAATTATTATCATCTCATGCATCAAATTAATTGTTTGGTAAAACATGCATAAAGCTGTAAAGATTTTATATATACTACTACGTATATATTTTAAACTTTCATGAGAATGGTCTATATTCAATGATCATAAACATAGAATTTAGTTATAGTCACAAGATGCACAATATGTTTAAACCCGGAAATTCAAGCTCTCAATGTGTGCCTTCTACAATTTTGGATCGGTCAGCAAGGCTAATGGAAGGACACAAAATGAGTGAGGGATCATTCACGCATTTGGTGTTACTTGCGGTGGTTGTATTTGCACTGGTTTGTGATGGACAAATGGTGAAGGCAATCTCCACAAACAGTAGTGCCCGACTCTTGCAGCACTACATTGATGGTGCTGTATATCTCCCCCTCGAAGGAAGCTTTGACGTTGGGTAAGCAACTCCACAAACAATATATATACTCCACTCATATTAATTAAGTTTTGGTTGATGTATTAATAGTTTTTTGTTTTGTTTAGGCTGTATTACACAAAAATTTATTTGGGATCTCCTCCCAAAGAATTTTTAGTCCAGATTGACACCGGAAGCGACGGTCTATGGGTGAACTGTATCTTTTGCAAGGATTGCGAGCACCAATCCATGCTAGAGGTAAAACAAACCATATGACCATAACTTTATTACCCGTATCAAAACTTCAAGGACCAAATATGCTTACTTGTTATATGTATCTATCTCCTTATAGGTTCATCCCTCGTTCTTTGACCCATCCACTTCTCCGACGTCGGGATTCATTCCGTGCTCTGACGACCAAATATGCACAGGAGTTGGTATTGGATGTTCTGCCCAAAACCACTGCACTTACACTCATCAGTACAAGGACGGTTCTTGGGCCCTAGTGGATTATCTGACTGATTTGATCCACTTAGGAAAAAATGTTGGAACCTCCACTATCAACACTTCTACTCCAATTACTTTTGGGTAAGTCTTGTTGAATACAAGTATAAAATATTTTTTGAAAGCTTGATGAAGTAAAGTGCCTTTCTTTTCGTTTGTTTTAACATGACAGATGTGCAACTCATCGGCAGAGCGCGGAAAGCCATACTGCAATACTTGATGGAGTATTGGGATTGGGCAACAACCAAATGTCCGCCGTTAACCAGTTGGCAGCAAAAGGAGTAATACCCTCCATATTCTCTCACTGCTTCAAGAGAACTGGCGGCGGTTCATTTGTTCTGGGACAGGTTGTGCAGCCCAATATTATGTACACTCCAATGGTGCCCGGGTATGTTTTCATCACATACAAAAGAAATGAAGTGAAATTATTAATTTGCACCCACTCATGCACTGATGATGCACGCACTCACCACACCAATCCCAAAATTAATTAAGGAGGCTTTTTGCAAACTATTTACTCCTTGCGTATCAGTTTATCTGTGATCTGTCTTATTATCTTTTCCACGTAGTTAAAAGTAATTAATATACACCGTATACAAAGTAGGATGCATATATAATGCATATGTTTTTTATGCGCACACATAAACACAAGCACATTACTGACATTAGAAATCATGATTCTTAAATTAGATAGAAATGTATGTATGTATTTTCTCAAAAATATGCTATATAACTAACGCGCTTCAAATTGTCAGTGCGAATTACCGTGTGGAGCTCCAGAGTATATATATTAATGAGCAACCAGTACCCATTGATCCCCAATTATTTGGTGCAAACAATGGAGGAACTCTAATAGACTCTGGAACCACTATGGGTTACATTGTGATGGAGGCATATGATCCCTTTGTTAATGCTGTAAGTTCATAATTACTGTACATTATTAATGCACACTACTAGAGAATAGACATATTACGTCGGTTATTTTAGACATTTCACGTCGGTTTTGAAAGAGTCGTCTAAGTAAGAGACGTTATAGATAGGAACATATAACGTCGGTTCGCGAACCGTCGTAAAAAATACTCTTTAACGTCGGTTTTGTTGTATAACCGACGTAAAAGATTTTAAACTAATAATAATAAAATGATATTTTACGTCGGTTTTTTGACGTAACCGACGTGATATACTCTTTGAGAAAACTATACTACGTCAGTTCTTCTTGAGAACCGTCGTTAAAACCCTTCAGCAAATTAAAAAAAAAAATAAGCTGGTTTTTTAATGCTAACCAACATTAAAGTAAATACGTAGCATGACTCAAAGATTTACCTTCTTTTATTTAAAATGACCTTCGAACAAATGTATCAGTACATCTTTATAAGAATGACAAAATGAACATATTAACTAGACACAAATCAATCACTAATACTAGAACTTCATTACATCGTGTTGATTCCCGTGTCATCGGTGATACTACAATAACTTCTTCGAATGGCCTAACTCCTTGAAACAAAGACAATTACAGATTAACAGTAACCTCCTTGATATACAAACATCTTTCCGAACCAAGAATGAGATTGATCAACCGTTGCAAGCCAAAGCAAAAGATGAAATTTATTTACCTGAAAGTCATCGCAATATATTAGAACACTTTAGAACAAAGGCACTCAAATAACAGTACATTCACTTTTTTGGTGCAAAAGAAATTTAACCAACAAATCCAAATAATAAGAGCACAGGTCTGATGAAGCAAGGTAGAGGTGATGAGAAATTTGCATTATTTGAGCACTTGAATGCCTGCTTTTCTACTAGGGCCCTAATTAATGTTTACTTGTATTGTTTTCTTAGTACTTTCTTTTCAATGATTTAGAAATGGACAAAGTAGATACTCTTACCACATAAACAAGCAGTTAGTCAATACTTTCTTTCACTTCTTTGAACTTATCAACTTAACTCTGTATAATATGTCACTTTTATCCCTGCACACAATCAGCACTTAACTGAAAGCATAGTCATCTTATAACTTTTCAGTTACTAATAACACCATTCAGAACCTTAAATAACTACAGCATTTAGTTGATATGCATATTCATGAAATCCAGCAGGCTGCACATTGAAAATTAAGTGAACCCAAGAAAGTTAGTGAAAATTTTATTGCAGTTCAATCAATCCACTTGGGTCCCTCCACAAAAGACTTCGACACTCCATATGTTTGCAAAAACCTGAATATGATGGAGTACTCCCTTGTTCTCAAATAATTCATTAATTAAAAAGGATTATGTAAAACAAAAATTCTTGATTCAACCAGACCAAAAGATATAACATAGCAAAGTAACAGATTGGGAACTAGTGCTAGAATGAGTGTGGTTAATTAGAAGATAAGCGAGATTTTGGGGGTCAGTTTAAAAAGAAGGATTCCAGTGCATTACCCGTTAGTCTATCCAACGAAATGTCCGGAGAAAGCGATAGACCAGCAGTCCAGCAAACACATGCAGCATGTTTAAAATATGAATGGTCTTTTTAAATTAAAAAGCAGTCTGCACCAGCTTGTATCTTGATCTAGCCTCCACACAAAGTCACCACGAACCAGTATATATCTGTTTCTCTAGCTATTTGTATATCAAAGGTCCAGAATGTTTGCTTCAAAACTTTAAACACAAATTGTGGATGTAGTGCCACCACTATTATAAGAAAAATCGTGAGCCAGTAATTAGGCACCATTATAGATTATTTATAATAATGCATAAGATAAATGCAACCTTAGCAGTTGGATGTGAACCTTAGCTGCAACCTTAAGCTTGATCTTCCCTGTAGCTGTCCAGAGTCATCCCGCTATTCTCATCCATCCTTGCACACTTTTGCTGTATATAGCAATACTGGTCATGGCAGTTTTACCTCTTCCTATATATGAGTAGTATCAAATAAATTTCTTTTTTGGTCGTCTCTAGGCTATTTGATATTACTGATATAGGAAAACTTGGGAAAATAATATTATTAGACAATTATGCATGAATTTAAAAAGCATCCAGAGTTAAGATCTAGGTTATTCATATTAGGTGAAACCATGAAACATAAGGACAAAGATATTTACTAATATAATCAACTGGAATGTCCTGAACAAATACCACCTGCTTCTACACATCAAAATACCATGAACTAAACTAACCTTATTTTCATTACAAATGAAAACCTAACATTTGGGTGGTACATATTCTGATGTGCCCTTAAATTAAGGTAAAACCCTAAATTTCGAAAAAGTAATTCTTAATATACAAGAAACAATATTCACGAAGTATGATTACACAACAATAAGAATGGATTACATACCGTAGATGAAGAAATCATTGAGTTGGTGCAGCAAGAGTACATGGATTCTCATGAAAATCACAATCTACAACCTCAATCATCCCACACTGAGTTTAAGAAGCTAATTAATTACTCAAGTAAATCAAAAGATGGACAATAAAGGTTAGAACCCATAATAAGCATTATTCCTGAAATTCAATTAAATAAGAAAAAAATATTGGAGATAGAAGAAATTGTAGAAGTCCAGCGACTAAAAGTATAGAGATTGTCTTGATCATGGAAACCTATACATCGAATGCTCAACTCAGTTGGCAGATGTAGATCGACTAGGTGAGTAGCCAGAAGGGATGCAGCCTTCCAAGACGCCTAAACTGCAGCCCGCATGCTGAAGACCGATTCGGTGAGTAGGGATGCAGCTCTGTGGACCGCTCGCCGGGACTTTACGGGAGACTTTCGCCTCATACGTCGCCTTCCTGTAATCGAGAAGGCCAACTAGAAGAAATCTGATGGATATATTGAGAATAGAAGGACTTACCTGTTTTGACAGAGCATCGATCGAGTTTCATCTGACAGAGGTAGACGAAGAAGTTGCGCGCGGAGAGAAGAGGCCAAGGCGTCAAGGGTTTGTCGATTCTTTGTACCGAGTACTTCGTAATTCGTATATAATCGTGTTAGAAGGGGCCGGTAGGGGGTACGAATTAATAATTTTAACTAAATCCACACTAAATGCATTTTTCAGGACGGTTCTAAAGAAACTGACGTTATATCTATGCAAAAAAATTCCGCTCGGCCTTTTTCCAAAACCTACCACGTCAGTTTTACCCAAACCCGTCGTTACAAAGTTCTTGCCTCTCCTATTACGACGGTTCTTTGAAAACCGACGTCAAATGTGTGACGTGGTATGTCATTCTTGTAGTAGTGGCATGTTATGAATGAAAAGTATATTGACTATTGTTCTTAGCTTGTCACATTATTAATGTTATGAATGAAGAGTATATTGACTAAAGACTATTATTCTTGTCACATAGATCAACCAAATTGTGTCAAATAATGTGTATATCTATAATGGCGAGGGTAGGCAATGCTATGCCTCCTCATCTAGGTACTCCTCTACGAGTTCTCATTTACATCTATTTATTTAGTTATGTTAGTCATTTAATTTAATTAATTTTTTATGTTTATATTTTTTGTCAATCTCACGTTGTATTTTTGGATGTAGTGTTTTTACCATTTTTCCATCCATCCGTTTAAATTTTGCTGGGGGTGCATCAATGATTCTCCAGCCTATAGACTACCTTGTACATCAAGATTCGGTGGTAAGCTGCCGGCTTTTTTTATCATTTTCTATCGGAAATAATATATATCCTAAACTTTAGATTGAGGTGTTATCTTATACGGAGTATATAGGGTGGATTATATTGGTGGAAAAGTTTTTTAGTTTCCTGGGTATATGTATTTTGGTTATGGGTGTTGGTTTTAATGAAGTGCGTAATTGTATATGCTGCTCTAATAATAGGATGGAACGAGTCACTGGTGCTTGGGATTTTTTAAATCTGAAAAAATGTCCGTCTTAGGAGGTAAAGATCAAGTGTTATGTACCATATTTAATGCATTTTCATGCATTTTCGCCTTCAGAGTTCCATAATCCCTTCATGATAATGGTTTTTGTTTATTATGTTATATTTATTGATTCACTTATTCATTTAACTATGCATTGTAATTTGCAGATCTTCTTCTCAAAGATAAGATCGTTGTTTACGATTTAACTAACCAACGGATTGGATGGACCGATTACGACTGTAAGTCTATGTTTAGATAATTAGTGAGAAAATTCATTAAAACTTAAAAAAGGAATGAAAAGATTTAAAGGCTAAAAAGATGTGGAATGACGTTTCTTTATTGATTTAACAACAAATGTGTTTACTTAAAACCAGCTTCTATTGAACTTGTCTGAGCGGCTCCTATCAAGACTTTTTACTTATGTTTTAACATTTTCAAATTATCAACATAAATTAAACATTAAGACTAATTATTTGAATTCAAAAATAAAATAAGAAGCCTACTGACATTATATGTAAAGAAAAAAATTGGACCTAATTTTTTCTTATATACTTTCGGGCCTAGGGTGATCGCCCCTGCTGCCCTCCCTTAGGGCCGGCCCTGATAATTATAAAATTATAGTTGTGATGATTACGAGGGAATGCCTTTATTTGTGACAACATATTTTATGTATAAGAGATGTATTTTTTTATTTAGACACTACTGCACTTTTAGAGTAGCATGGATGCCCTCCCTTACTCTTAAGTCCGTTAAAATTTTGTGTTATGATTTCATGTAGCATTATATTGTCAAATTGTTATACTGAAGGTATGCTTTGGTTGTCATTTTTTGTATAAAAAATATAGTCCCAAGTACAAATAAAAACGTGTGACAAGTCATTCTAAAATACGATCATTTTGATTTTATTCCATAAATATGAGTAATATACGAAGTAATTACATAAAATTTGGAAAATATTGACACTTACGACAATATACTTTCACGTTTTAGGGAATACAAAAATAATGTTCGCTTTTACGGAATTTTATAAATAAGACTAAATTACTAAAACATAACTATGCACATTGTCTATATTTTAATAGCAATGTCTTATATATCACCTAAGCTTCATACGTAGTACATTTCTCTACGGCAGGTTCTCAACCCATCGATGTATCAATAAGGAAGCCCAGCAGCACTAAGAGGCACCACCCTTCACGACATTTCCACTGGACCATAATACTGTTATTCTCTGTACTATCAATTTTATTCTTATTGCTTTTACTACTAGCAGTACTAGCTTGCTTAAATTATGTACAACAACACATGTTGGAGTAAATATCACCGTATCACTTTTTCCTCTGTTAGCATGATTACTAAATACTCCGTAATTGTTATTTCAATTTGTAACATACTTCGTATTTACTACTCCTAGGATTTAGCAGTCGGTTATTCTTTGGGAAAAATACTAATTGGTTATCACTTGAGTATTCTGTGGGTAGATTCGTTGTCAACAACATTTCCATTCACACTTACATTAAAACAAAAAACACAAAAAATTCTAATAGCAACACTAAAAAAAACAAAATCTAATAGCCAATAAATAACGCTGCACAATCACAATCACCATCCATTGAGGCCAATGTGGGCACCTCCATTTAAACTTATAACATGTGTCGTCTCTATCCTTCCAAAATCAACGTGTTGACCGTGTTGCTTCTAAATTGACCTCGTTGACTATCTAGCTCCGAGAATTGACCTGCAAAATAATCACTAAAAGGCTAGAACTAAAAGTATATTAGTGGCTCGAGACGCGACAGACGCTTTCTTAAGGAATTATTTCCGGCATACGGAAATTTCCCTCAAAATATAACGAGCCCTTCGGTTATAAAACTGGTACCAGAACTAACGAGAAGAAAATAGTATATGAACCCAGCAATAATAAAAGTGTGTTTATCAATTGGTTATATACCCACACGGATCACACTCTATATATTTCTATATATATACAAAAGGAGTAAAATATACACACACATATTAATGTATGAAGAGTAATATGTAGTAGAGTATATATCTCTTCACTTTGTAGGGGCCGAGTGTCTTCTAAGAATTAATCCCCATCACTCTTAATGCATACTAATACATGCATCACCATGCAATATATATACTAGTGATACATATACATACCTTTTTTTTTTGCGAGAAATAAAAAGTTTTATTGAGAATGAAAAAAGGTTACATGTTCTAATGAAAGAGGAGAGTCAAAAGGGGAGAACTTCCCCGAAGCCAATGCAAACAACAAGATAAAAGTATAAAGTCCAAAAAATCGAAAACTGGGTCCATCTAGCTCCTACATAAAAGCTTACGATTTGAAGCGATCCGTTCACTCCTTCTAAGGATCTTATGTTTGAATTTAGGAGGACTCGACTTCCAAGTAGGATCAATTAAACGTTCGAGCAGCTCTTGATCAGATATAGTTTTCCTAATAGGAGTATGTTCAATTTCATCTCCTGAAGTTAAACATGATTCTGCAGCCATGTCAACAACCCCCTCCGACTCTGGAAGAGGAGTATTTGCAGCAATAACCTGGAGGGGCTTTGCTTCAACATTGTCCAAATAATTAACTGATAACGAAGAAGATGAAGATTCAAAGATCCCAATTTTATCCAAGTCTTCCCTAAATAATAATGATGAAATAGATGGTGAATCAAAAGTCTCAATACCCCTAGGGCTAAGTCCAAAGAGTTCAGAACCAAATTCAAGCTCCTGAAAATTCTCAAATTCTGTATTAATAGAAGTTTGTGTGCCCAAAAATTTGATTGCCCCTTGTAGCTCCATATCAAAGAGACGAAAACCTTCCTTTTTCCAACCTTCCGGGATGATAATAGTCGATCGACGCTGACAATCCAATTCCATAAAACGAATAAAACCCCCGAATTGATTATTCTCAAAAGAAATTTGAAGTTTACGGGAACCCTCAAATCGTGTACAAACCCAAGAAGCACCATATTTAATACGATGAAAAGAAGAAAATAGCCAGTTTGCTCCATCTTTGTCCAGAGAAATTGTGCGTGCAGTGATAGCTTGCCCTTAATTTGAGTTATATGTAGTGATGAAGAAGCAATCGAAAAGCAAAACACTTTGCTCTCGATTCTAAGATATGAAGGAGGACTCTTCAATCCTGTCCAGCTACCCTCAAATGAGTGTCCTCCTAAAGAATTTCCAATACAGCGATCATCTTTAACTCCAATTCTCTTGTTGTGAATGCCTAAGAATTTCCCTGATCTCAGAGGCGTAGCTTTTACCACTCTACTTTGCTGGAATTGTTGTTGTTCTCACCCCATTTGCACCGGAATGGACCCAAAAAACAACCATTGATCATCAAGAAAATGGTTGCCTGGTTCGTATTCCTCACTCTGCTGCAGAGTGTTCCTCGTCCCTCGTTTGACGTTGTCCTGTTGCCAGATGCCTGGTGCAAACACATGCTGCTCATTCCCCATCCGCACAGTAGACTCCCCCCTACCTGCACTCACAACTGACTGACCAACACCTTTGAAATCCCTGGCATCATACGAGTCTAATAGCGGCCCTGTGGAAAAACCTTCCCGTGCAAACCCTTTCTGCAGATTCCCCTTCTCTGGTTTATGAATCCAGTTGCCCTCTTGCCAAACTTTGTTGTGTTGAAGCTTAGAGTGAAGGCCATACCAGATTTCACGGCCTGGCGTCGCAGCAGAACACGAGCGTAGTGACCGCCGCTGAGATTCTGTTCCCCAATCGGTCATTGATGATGATGCACCTCTCTTCCCTATCCGCGATTTCCAGTCTGTCGATACCCAATCTGCCTGACGCAGCGACGAATCTGAGCAAATCGGCCGAAATTCCATCTTCTTCCATCTTCATCCACGCTTCATCCATCTGGGGAGAAATTGGTGCTCCCTAATTGGATTGCCAAACCCATGATACGAGTGTCGGCTTTCACCGTGCTCACCGAATCCTTCCGCCGTCATTCATCATACATATACATACCATAAAAGCTTTCAACGTACCATCTTAATTAAATGGGTTAAATGTTAAGAGCAACGTTTGATATTATTATATTAATAAATATAATTAATAACATTAATGAGTGAAGGTCATTGAGCTTTGGTGAGCAACGGTTTCATTGTGTATTTTAAGTATTGCAATGTAAAACATGATTGATGAATTAAATTCATTTACATAATAAATTTAAAAAACTAAGTGTAAAAACCTTATTCAAATGAATGAGGTTTTTTAGAACACTTAAATGAATAAGTATAAATTAAGTAAAACACTTAAGTGTTTTAAGGTTAAAACACTTAAGTGTAAAAACCTTATAAAATTTCCAACAATCCCCCACTATTTCAAATGAATATTTTATTTATTAAAATTAATAATTCCTTACTGGGTTTCATATATGGGGTGAGGTTTTTCAATCTGGTGTCCGTAGACTTGAACCAGACCTACACGCCTAAGTCTTTAAATACCGAGTTTATTGGTGAAACGTATAGTTTCTATGAACCAATAATCTACTTTGGTAAGTCAGTGTCTTAGGGGATCATTTTTCACCACCACCTTTCTCGTCGTTAGCGCCGTTGTGCGCCTCTAGGCCGTGCACGTGCTTGATTTTTTGAGTGCTCTAGAAGCGTTGTCAATGCTTCATGGAGGCGACCCCACCTCTCACTCATATAGGTGACCTCATCAAGTGTGTCCCGCACTTAACACACCACCTGTAAGGGCTATGATCTGACTATCATTAAGAGTTTTAGCTCAACCTCACAAACAAATGCAGTCTAGCCTTCCACACCATAGAAATGGACATTTTACAAGGCTAGCAGAACAAATAGAAGACTTGTTATTACCCATTTGAACTTGCTTCATGGGATCTCCAATCACACAAGTTAGGATTAATGGAATAGTTCCATTCTTAAGCATCATTGTACCACTTTTAAAGGTGAATGGATATCCACTATTTTATCTCATGTGAATCGACTCAGATGGCATCGTTGTATCCCGGCAATACAACGGATGACTCTCAATAAGAAATAGCATTGATGTGACACTTTTGTACATCAGATAATTTCAATAATGTGTTGTAGCCTAACGAATAATTCTCAATATAATACATAACATCATTGTATCATCATAGTACAATGAATAATTCTCATCTATAGCATCGTTGTACCTCTCTAGTACAACGGATATTTCTCAATTAAACATATCATCGTTGTATCAATATATTACACCGGATAATCAGAATCATAAATAATGATATCTCTCAAATATATCTCAATAACTTAAGGTATCTCAACCATCACATTTGGATTTCATATATTGGTTCAACCTTCAATTGCAGCATTTTAAAATTATGAAATGTCACACACATTTAATTGTAACAGATTCACATTTTTGTTTTTATTTATATCAAAGTCATAAGGGATATTCACATTTTAACATTGAAATATCAAACTTCTTAAGAAGTTTTTCAAAATGATGATAGTAAAATACCACAATCCTTCCTTATGGCTTTAATATAATACTCCAAAAATTACTTTTACTATATTCATATATCAACTCAATATAGCTACTGAAATAAGCATACAAAATTTCAGCAACATATAAACAAATAATCACACATGAATCATTTAGTGTGTTCACATTCTTCAAAAATAAATCACATTAATATCAACAATAATATAACTTAAAGTATTGCACACCGGCACACTAATTCTTCAATTTAAGGAAATCATATATATGCTCCACTATTTCAGTTTATGCAAAGAGTAGCTAAAGGTTGTAAAACTCAATTAAATAGTTAATTAAAATTTAGATAAACACCCCCACAATTTTAAAATATTTCAAAAACAGGTGCATAACTCTTCTAAAATTCACAGGAAGATAAGATATTTTTATTGAGATAATATCTATCTCAATCTTTATTTATACACCAATATTTTATTAGAAATTGCCTTCAAATTTAACGAAATAATTTTTTTTTATCTCGAAAAGTCACTGATAAATGTAACATGAAATCTTCCACAACTTCTAATCACCGTACAAATATATTAATAAAACTTATATCGATTCACCAAACATTTTACAAAATTTTAAAGATGATATATGATTTATAAATTATCTACCTCCACTTTACACATTCAGAGTCTATCAAGATTTTCACAAATTTAGGTAAATAAATATATAATATTTTTAATCACGGCATGCACTTCGAAGGCAACAAGTAATCACTTTCGGACACCATGCATATATGCAGATATATATTTCAACACACTAGTGAATGTATACGGACATTAAAATACTCCGTAATAGTTAAGTGATTCATTTGATAGCAGTGACAAATAAAATCGTTATAAAGCTCCAATGTAACTGCCACACCAAATTCTGAGAATTCAACAGTTTTTGAAGACCCATAGCATTTAATGTTGTCGGGAAGATGATAAATTTTCTCAACGTTGAAG